CAGGCCTTTCACCCAAGACAGGGAAAGAGGCTAACTAAGGCTGCAACAGAAAAGAAGTTTCCCTTAGAGATCAAGGGAAACTTCCCATACCAAAGAGATGAGGGATGGAAAGGGATGACGGGATTAGATGGGAGGACGAGGGGGACCGGGTCTTCTCTTTTCCTAGAATTTTGGATGGGTAGTCTTTAAGACTTCTCAAAGGAAAGGCTTCCTCTTAGGATCTGGAGGGAGAGGAGGGTTAGAGCTTCAGAGCCATGCCTTCCTTGCCCCACTTCATCATTGTGAATTTACTTCACAGATCTGGTGCAGACTGGGATGGGTTACAGTCCTCGGTTTCCATGTATTAAAAAGGGGAGCAATCGCGGAGATGGGAGTGCAGGGTGTTTCCTTTTAATCAAGGAATCAGTTCTCACTACACAGAGACACCCCCTGCCACTATTCTGGGACAACTTTGCCCATAAAATTTTAACAAAGAATACTCTTTGGAATGAGATAGAAAGTTGCAGAATGGGAACTGAAGAAAAGTGCCCCACCGGGAGGAATGCTGAGCGAAACAAGGGCGCTGGCCGGCCCTCCCTTCAAGGTGGGCACAGAAGCACTCTCCTTTCTGCCCACCTGCAAGAGAACAGGTCCCCTCAGCTTACGGAGACCCTGGGGCAAGGGAAACAGGAGAAAACAGCAGTCCCTCTTAATTGTGAAAGGGATTTTGCGCTCTCCGGAGAGAAAGCCCCACCCCTTCCTAGGGACCCTAGACCCCACAACACAAACAAGCGCTCAAAGAGTCCCCTGCCAGCCCCTTGGCCTCACCCCAAACCCATTCCGGGTCCTGGGGACCCGCCCAGCCTCCTCAGGCCCCGCCCCTGCTCGCGGTCCCCGCGGACACCCCCAGGTGCGCGCCCCCACCCCTCCGCGCCGGGCCAGGTGCCCAGGCCTGACCTGCTCCGGGCCCTGGAAGCAGATCCGGCACTGGGGGGTTCGGAGTCCACTGTCCAGGCTGCTACTGAGCGACAGGGCGTCCAGCGCGCCCGGGGGCGGCAGCGGCGGCGCGGGCGGCGGCAGGGGTCCGGCCCGCGGCTCCTTGTCGCCGGCCAGGCCCCGGGCCCGCGGCTCCGACCCGTAGTACTCCTCCTCGTCGCCGTCACCGTCCCGGGTGGAGCAGCCGGCGAAGGGCGCCCAGCCGCAGCCGCCTCCCCCGCCCCCCCGGGGCTGCGGCTCGGCCCGGGGCCGCCCCCCGCCCGTCAGCACCAGCAGCTTCAGCTCGTTCAGGAACATGCGGAGCCGAGACTTGAGCATCGTCCGGGCGCCGGGGGCGGGGGGCGGCGTGCAAGGGGGGCTCGCTGGCGGCGGGGGGAAGGGAGAGGACAAGGCTGGGAAGGGGGCTCGCGCTGGAGAGCCGAGCCGGGCCGGGGTCTTCGGGGCCTGCGACCGCCGTTCACTGCTGCCACCGCCGGGGCTCTGGGGCTTGCGGAGCCGAGCGGGCTGGCGGCCCGGGGGCGGGGGGGTGGGCGGCCATGGCCAGGGCAGGGGGCGGGGAGAGGGACTCAGGGTGCCGCGCCCCGCGGGTCTGGGTCCGGAGCGGGCCGGGCCCCCGGGGTTACGCGCCCAGGTCCTCCTGCGGCGGGGCCGCCCCCCATGGCCGTACTCCGGGTTCCAGTCTCGCTCCGGCTCGGGGATCAGGCTCGGCTCTGCCCGTGCGCTTGGCGGTGGCAAATGGCGGCTCCTTCCGGCGGCGGCGGCGGCGGAGACCCCCCCGGAGCTGCGGGCGGGCGGGGCGGGAGCCGGGAAGCGGGTGAAAGATGGAGGGAGGGGCGGGACGGGGAGGGGGAGAGGAGAAGGGGCCGCGGCTGCGCATCCCCGCCCTGCCCCGCCAGAGCAGGTGTCCCCAGGGGCGGGGGCAAGTGTGAGAGCCCGGGGAGGGTGGAGAAAGGGGAGTGGCCAAGGAAGGGGAGTGTGCACAAGAGTAGACTAGGTGTGTGTCTGGGGGTGGGGGATGAGCGAGTGAGCATGGAAGGTGAGTGGTCAAAGGACGCAGGTGTACCAGGGAGGGAGAAGCTTGTGCAAAATGGGAGTGCGCAAAGAAAGAGCTGTGTAAGGGTCGGAGGTATGAGAGAGGTACACACATGGGCAGGGGAGGGACTCAAGCAATATACACTTTACCCAAAGGGCTGAAAAGTGTGCTTGATGGGGACTGGAAAAGAGAGGTGTGTAAGGAATGGAATCGGATTGTCTGAGAAACAGAAGCCTCTGACTGTAGTGTGAGAAGGAGGTGAGTGAGCAGGAGGTAGGCGTGCTACAGGGATGGGAGTGTCTTTCCTGGTACTCTCCTGCCATGACCTCCACTACATTGAAGTGAACAAGAAACACACTTAGCCCTTTGCTTTTATGGAGCCTTCTCTCTCAGAACAAGTTCTACTCACATCACATTTTTTCTGCCTTACACTTACATTCTCCCTCTCCTACCCTTTGCAAAGCTGAGGGAAAAGGGATTTCAGGGGAGCCCATTGGGTCAAACACACTGGGAAAAAATTAATTAGTGAAAGAGTAATTAACAGAAGAAGGGAGGAGACAGAGCCTGGGACAGACTGCCAAATTAAGGTTCCTCAAAGAAAGTGATGGAGAGACAGTAATGTTCCCATGAAATATTCAAATGGTTTGGATGGACTAATGAATGAATCAGAAAAAGGGGCTGGGACCCAAGCAGACAGAGAGGATGGCTTCTGTTGTAAAGAGAGTAAGCTGTGAGGCCAGGAACGGTAGCTCACACCTGTAATCCCAGCACTTTGGGAGATGGAGTTGGGTGGATCATCTGAGATCGGGAGTTTGAGACCAGCATGACCAACAGGGAGAAAACCACTCTACTAAAAATACAAAAAAAATTAGCTGGGTGTGGTGGCAGTCGCCTGTAATCACAGCTACTTGGGAGGCTGAGGCAGGAGCATCACTTGAACCCAGGAGGTGAAGGTTGCAGTGAGCTGAGATGGTGCCATTGCACTCCAGCCTGGACAAGAGTGAAACTCGGTCTCAAAAAAAAAAAAAAAAAAAAAAAAAAAAGATAAAGATAAAAAAAGAGAGAGAGAGAGTAAGCTGTGATGGGCTTATGTGGAAGATGAGGCTAAAGTGGGGAATGCTGATGTGGGAAGGGAGTTTGAGAAACTCACAGACACTTATCTTAGCCTTCCAGAAGGCTTACAAAGCACCCACCCCTAGCAAGGGAGCCAATAAAACATTCACCTCTTGAGCCCCTCAGTTCAGTACTTGAGGTTTTTCTTACTAGTGTTCCAGCTGCCCTTGCCAGGAGGGGCCCAGGGCTACAGATATCAGGATGGAAAGAGGAGGCATCTGCATTAACATGTATCCTGTTTTGCTCTAAATAATGGTTTATATTCATCTTCTAGTTTGAACTCATATTCTCAGCCAGATGGTTAACAGAAGTTAGGGTGGAAGGAGTGGCAAATAAGGTAATAAAATGGCTTTAGATTTTAGACAAATTCAGCCGGGCACAGTGGCTCAGCATTTTGGGAGGCCGAGGTGGGCAGATAACTTGAGGTTGGGAGTTTGAGACCAGCTTGACCAACATGGAGAAACCCTGTCTCTACTAAAAATACAAAATTAGCTGGGATCACAGGCGTGGTGGCACATCGCACTGTTGCACTCCAACCTGGGCACAAAGCGCAACTCCGTCTCAAAAAATACATATATACTTTGTCTAAAAAATATATATATATATATTATTTTTAAGACAAATTCTCAATTCTCACAAATGAGACACTAACCACTTTCCTCCTTTACTCCCATACCCCTAAAGGGCTGGGAGATAAAGAACTTGGAGCCAGTAAAACAAAAAAAGTAGGAGAAATCTACCTGTGTCAACCTAGGTGTCTGTGGGCAGAGGCCATTTGGGAAAAAGTGTGTTCTGTATGGTGCTAAGTGCTTAAGAAAGCTGCACTAGGGAAAAAGAGGGAAGCACAGGGACTCCAAATGAGCAGTCACAAGTTTGCAGAAGAGCACGTCATTCCCATTTATTGTGGTTGTCTGGAGGGTGCAGGGGGTGTGGTGGTAACTTCCTTGCACATGTGCCTGTCTATATACTACATGTAATAAATAATATAACATACATATATATATATATATACCTAGAAGTATATATACACACACATATATCTTAATCTCACATAACCATAGAATCTTCCTACTGAAAAAAAAACAAAAAACATAAAGGTCAAGTATTCCTGTCTCCTGCTCATCAATAACTTCTCTGCCAGATGGCCGCAAGTCTTTGCATTAACACTTCCAGGGAGGTTTGGAAGTTGGGAACTAGAGGGCACTGTTCCTGTTGTCTTACTGTATTAATCTGCCTTCTTTCCATCCCCTAATCGAAGTTTTGCCCTCCAGTGGGCATTGTCTACTCCCTATTTTATAAGACCCCATTGTTGGCTACATCTTTATAGATAGTCGTACCACTACTTTAAAGAGCCAGTGACAGACAGCAAAAACAAATCAAAATAAAAACCCACATACACACTGGAAACAAGCACTCAGTACAATTTTGTAGAATGAATGAGTGAAACAATGGCACATATGAGAGTATGTTTTCTCACGGTGGAGCAAAAAGGTGATAGCACCACCTCGGGTCCCCCAACTCCCACCCTCTCCCCAATGTAGACAGGTGAAAGACCGGTGAGACAATCTTTCAGCTGGGAGCTGGGCTCTGGGTGGCCTGGGTTGCCATGGCACCGCCTTGGGCTCCACCCTCTCTTCCCCCCTACCGAGCACCCCCCGCAGCGGGGTTGTGGCAGCTAGTCACGTGCCCGCCGCGTAACCACACCTCTGCTCCTCAGAGCAATGTCAAGCGGTCACGTGTGATAGCAACAGATCACATGGCTGTATCGCCCCCTCCGCCCCTGTTACGCTCTTCGCTTTCCTCCCAGTCAAAGCGGCTCCTGGCCGCCCCTCGGCGCCTGGGTGGCGGTCACGTGCCCAGAACGTCCGGCGTTCGCCCCGCCCTCCCAGTTTCCGCGCGCCTCTTTGGCATCTGGTCACATGGTGAGGGTGGGGGTGAGGGGGCCTCTCTAGCCTGCGGCCTGTGTCTATGGTCGGGCCCTCTGCGTCCAGCTGCCCGGGACCGAGCTCGGGTGTATGGGGCCGCAGGAACCGGCTCCGGGGCCCCGATAACGGGCCGCCGCCGCAGCACCCCGGCCTGGTGTGAGGTAAGTTCAGCCCCTTCCCAGGAATAAGAACCAGTGCCCTCCCCCATCCCAGCTTTCCACGCGTGCGTTTCGCGAGCTGGTTATGAAAGGGTCGCTCAAGGGCGGGAAATGGGGCCTTTGTGGTCGTGGGAAGGTATAATTTTAGGGACTGAAGTGTAAGATCTTCGATGCAAGGCGTGTGTCATGTGTGATCTTTGTGCGGGGCGCGATTGTCCCAAAGGAAAAGGCATTTTTTATTGTAGGGCCTCACGTGGCTGCAGGGGTTGGTATTGAGTCATTGTGTTATCTCCGGCCCGGCCCAAGGAAGATTGGGAGCGGGGGATGGGATGCTGGTGTTGCTCTTTGTGCTTTTTCTTGGGAGTTCCTTTGTTGCTGCAGGCTCATACCATCCTAACTCTGTAAGGGACTTTTAGTGGTAGGAGTCTTTGTGATTGTAGGGTCTCCCTTGATCTGAGAATGGCTACCTCTCGATATGAGCCAGTGGCTGAAATTGGTGTCGGTGCCTACGGGACAGTGTACAAGGCCCGTGATCCCCACAGTGGCCACTTTGTGGCCCTCAAGAGTGTGAGAGTTCCCAATGGAGGAGCTGGAGGAGGCCTTCCCGTCAGCACAGTTCGTGAAGTGGCCTTACTGAGGCGACTGGAAGCTTTTGAGCATCCCAACGTTGTCCGGTGAGAAGGTGGTGGAGGGTTGGGAGTGGGGAGTAAAGGGAAAAGACAGCCTACAGGTGGGGTGTGGTGATCTGGAGAGAAGTGGGGACCCAGAGGAAATAATGAGAGGTCATGTGGGTTAAAGGGGATTGACAAGTGAGCATTTACTCTGGCCAGGCTGATGGATGTCTGTGCCACATCCCGAACTGACCGAGAGATCAAGGTAACCCTGGTGTTTGAGCATGTAGACCAAGATCTAAGGACGTATCTGGACAAGGCACCCCCACCAGGCTTGCCAGCCGAGACCATCAAGGTGAGTGGGGTTGGTAGGCATTGAGAGGTGAATTGGGACCTTTGTAGTAGAACCTCCTGGGATTTCAGGGATGGTGCCTAGTTTCCAGTGCATCTGTACCTCCCCCTTCTGAACTAGGATCTGATGCGCCAGTTTCTAAGAGGCCTAGATTTTCTTCATGCCAATTGCATCGTTCACCGAGATCTGAAGCCAGAGAACATTCTGGTGACAAGTGGTGGAACAGTCAAGCTGGCTGACTTTGGCCTGGCCAGAATCTACAGCTACCAGATGGCACTTACACCCGTGGTTGTCCCACTCTGGTACCGAGCTCCGGAAGTTCTTCTGCAGTCCACATATGCAACACCCATGGACATGTGGAGTGTTGGCTGTATCTTTGCTGAGATGTTTCGTGGAAAGCCTCTCTTCTGCAGAAACTCTGAAGCTGACCAGTTGGGTAAAATCTTTGACCTGATGGGGCTGCCTCCAGAGGATGACTGGCCTCAAGATGTATCTCTGCCCCGTGGAGCCTTTCACCCCAGAGGGCCCCGCCCAGTGCAGTCGGTGGTACCTGAGATGGAGGAGTTGGGAGCACATCTGCTGCTGGTACTGGAGATGGCTGTGGGCACAGGGGTGGGCACAGGGAGGGACTCGGGGAAGAAGCAGAGCAGTACACAGGGCCCTGGCCACTGTGGTTAATGAAACTTGGTTGGTAGATGGGCTGTAGTTTTTACTGCAGCTGCAAATAGCCACCCACAGAGAGGGATGTAAAAGAGAGCCCATCCTGGCCAGGCGCGGTGGCTCACACCTGTAATCCCAGCACTTGGGAGGCCAAGGTGGGCGGATCACCTGAGGTCAGGAGTTTGAGGCCAGCCTCGCCACAACGATGAAACCTCATCTCTACTAAAAATACAAAAATAATCCAGTCATGGTGGCACATGCCTGTTATCCCAGCTACTCGGGAAGCTGAGGCAGGAGAATCGCTTGAACTCAGGAGGCGGAGGTTGCAGTAGGCCAAGATCACACCATTGCACTCTAGCCTGGGCGACAGAGCAAGACTGTCTCAAAAAGAGACAGCCCATCCCAGGTATTGTCACCGGTGGGCAGAAGTCTCTTTCAGTTTTCTGACCTTTGCCTCTCCCCTCAGGAAATGCTGACTTTTAACCCACACAAGCGAATCTCTGCCTTCCGAGCTCTGCAGCACTCTTATCTACATAAGGATGAAGGTAATCCGGAGTGAGCAATGAAGTGGCTGCCATGGAAGGAAGAAAAGCTGCCGTTTCCCCTCTGGACACTGAGAGGGCAGTCTCTGCCTTTGTCTCTGAGGCTGTGGAGGCTCCACCTCCATCTTTCTACAGAGATTACTTTGCTGCCTTAATGACATTCCCCTCCTACCTCTCCTTCTGAGGCCTCTCCTTCTGCCCCCCTATTTCTCTACACTAAGGGGTATGTTCCCTCGTGTCCCTTTCCCTACCTTTATATTGGGGGTCTCTTTTTATACAGGAAAAACAAAACAAAGAAAAAATGGTCTTTTTTTCTTTTTTTTAATGTTTCTTCCTCTGTTTGGCTTGGCCATTGTGCGATTTGGAAAAACCACTTGGAAGAAGGGACTTTCCTGCAAAATCTTAAAGACTGGTTAACGTACAGGGCGTAGGCAGTCAGTGGAGCCCCTGGACTGACAAAGCTTAGAAAGAAACTGAAATTTCTTCTCTGAATATGGATTTTAGGCCAGGCGTGATGGCTCACACCTATAATCCCAGCACTTTGGGAGGGCAGCGTGGGTGAATCACCTGAGGTCAGGAGTTTAAAACCAGCCTGACTTAACATGGTGAAACCCTGTCTCTACTGAAAATACAAAATTAGCTGGGTGTGGTGGCACATGCCTGCAATCCCAGCTACTTGAGAGGCTGAGGCGGGAGGATTGCTTGAACCCGGGAGGCAGACGTTGCAGTGAGCCGAGATCACGCCATTGCACTTCACTCTGGGTGACAGCAAGACTCCGTATCAAAAAAAAGGATTTTTAAATGGCTTTTATATTCATTGAACTTTCTCAAACTGGGTCCTACTTATTACAGGCAAGAGTTCTTGGTGGTTTTCTCCTTGGCTCTGTCCCTGATTTACCCTTAGAGCCACACCAGGGTATGTTGAGGTGATCTAGCATATGGACGGAGGAGGAGGGGAAACAGCTAAGAATGACCCCAGTCCCATTCTATGCACTCCCAGAAGCTTCCCATATCCTCTTAGAGAGAGGGAGAAAGTTTTTCCTTTTATTCCTTATAGTCTGGCTCCCACTAAAATATGTCCAGGTATAAAGTCTTGCTATTCCATCAATTTTAGGGGATATGACAAGGGGCCTTGCCTTTTTCTCAAACCAAAAGGGTTACAGACCCTAGATTTTTCTCTAAGGGAGGAACAGAAAGAGCAGAAGAGAAGTCAGAAGGATCCAAAGTCTCATAGAAAGGCACTGGGGTTGGCTCTAGGATCCTTCTGATTCCGAAATCTCATTGCTAGCCAAACGCCAAGGATCTGTTGGAACAAAGGGGGAGAGATAAGCACCAGTCAATTCTCAGTCTCAAGTTAAAAAGGATGTACATGAGGGAACTGGAGAATGTTACCTCTGTAAAGCTAAAGAAGAGTCCAACACCCCCTAGGATTTTCAGGGCTTCATCTGAATGCTTAAGAAACTTTTCTCCACACATCTGGCATGTGGGGCTCTGGCTCTTGCAGATCTGAGGATAAAACGTGTGTGAAGAATGCAAAGTTGCTAATGTAAAGCTGCTAGTCACCAATACCTATGCTGAATGTCCCTAGAAACTTTACTGTTATCTGACTAGTGTCGTACAAACTAAAATCCCACTTGGCTAATTCCCCAGCCTCTATCTAACCCCTATCAACAGCCCCAATACAAGATGGCTTCTAGAAAGAGAAATAATGACATTCAAACTAAATTTGCCAACTTGGGCATTGTCCTTACCCAGTTTCCTACCTCCCCTGGCTGCCGTACCACCCCCAACACACTCACTGCAGTGCAGAAATCATAATCTTGTTGATACAGGGTTGTGAGGTTGAATAAGCCACAACAATCAAAACTTCTTTCCAGTTCATCCCGAGTCTTGTTGCTCATGACCCACCAAGAAGCATTGATGACATCTGTCTGGAGGATACGGGCAGAGGGAAATTAAATCTTCCTGCATCCTGATATAAGTTCAAGTCCAATTTCACTAGTCCAGCAAAGGAAGTCAACCAGAAGCATAACGGTGTGCCACAATTATAGACAGGATAAATATCTACCTTTTCAGTTTCTCTAGATCATCACGGAAAATTAGCCAGACATCCCAGAGGAAGCAAATAGCCCAGGAGGCTAGAGGCAGTGGACCTAAGGATGATCTTTGGGTAGTTGGGGCCAGACTAAGGAAGGAGTTAGAGGGTAAGAGGAAAATTTTAAAAAGCAAGTAAGTACTTTAAAGGGCATTGTCTTACCTGTTTGCTTCGGTTAATAGCCAGACATGAGCAAGAGATAACAAACTGGAAGATGAAGACCAAACCGAGAATGATCATGTACTGAGAGGAAAGGTTATGGAAAAAAGTCCTAGATTCTTTTATGTTCTATCTATAACTGCCTGGTCTCATCTAGTCATAGAACTTACACCACCAGGTCAAACTGAAAGCAATAGTCAGCTCTAGTTTTGTAGATTATGGGATGGCAAGGCAAGCAGATGTGTCCAAGATCCCTGAGGTCCCCTGCCCTTCTAACATCAGCCCTCCCAAGAGCCCAGTTGCCCCCATCAGGTCAGGATACAAAGAACAGCAGGACTTGGTGGTGGTTGACAGCACCCACCAATCCAGCCACTGCAATAAGGAGAAGGAACACTCCCACAGCCATGACTCCGCCGATGATGTGGATGCTGGACACCAGACCCAGGCCCTTGCCCCAAGCAGCCACTCCAATGAGCAACAAGCCCACTAGCTACAAAGAAAGAGCAGAACACATCTCAAGAATTCTAGCATGCAGCACAGCCCAAGGCCATTACAAGAAGACTTGGGGGAGAAAAAAGTAATAATGGAATGGTCCGTGAATGGGAGATGGGGGTGGTGCTACCCACACCAGGGACATCCCTGGGCACTCCCAAAGGTTAGAATGGCTGGGATGGGGGCGGTAGAAGGTGGCAGGGATCGTAGTGTGAATATAAAAACTGAACCCTTAGGATCATCCCATCATTTCTACTTTGGGAGAAACTGAGGTTGACAGGAAGGAGGGATGGAACATAAGCCCGCAGCTTTCAGTTCATTCTCCCACCCCCAGACAAACCCCCTCATCAACCGGAAGATCCCTCTCTCCCACGGAAGTCCCCAGGAATTCCCTCTTCGCCGGAAGTTCCTGAGAATCTTCCTGGAACCCCCAATACACCCCTCTCCCCACCGGAAGTACCCTAGAGATTCTCCCTACTGGGCCTTTCCGCCCTGAAGCTTCCCCCACCTCCAAAACCTCACCATGTAGACCACGTTGAGAGCACAAAGCGCATTCTTGGAGCAGGCAAAGCCGCCGCAAACCATCTCCCCAGTTCTGGGGACCCAAGTGGTCCCAAGGACTTGGGGGAGGGTATTGGGGACCGTCTTGCAGGACCCCGACAGCTTCTGTCTCTTTAAATCGAGGCCAGCCAAGCCCAATTCTCTGCGCCTGCACCGTCCCACCCCTACTTCTGGATTGGCGAAATGCGTGGCTAATCCTGGACGACCAAGGCCTGCATTGCCAATCAATCGGCATTACGTCACCGACCCGCCTCCTGTCCCCTCTTTTAGGTTTTTTATTGGGCGAAACTTAAAACTAGGGGCAGGGTTTCTGGAGATTCTCATCAGGACGACAGCCTCAACTCCAAAAGCTTGGGTTGAAAGCTGAGCTTTCTGTGGTCGGAGTTGGAGAGGGCTAATTCGAGGAAGGCGGCTGTGGAGGAACTTAGGTGAAGGGGAGGCGGCGGGAGGGGCGGGTAGGGAGCCGCTCCGAGAGCTGGGTAGAAAGGGCTCCGCCCGTGGAAGGAGGGCCCTTCCCCGCTCCTTTCCCCATGTCCTGCAGTGACCTCATGATGACGCCATTGTTGTGTTACTGCGTCACACTCGGGAACACCCAAAGGAGACACATATTGAGCTTATTTAGCCCGGCCACAGAGGCCGCAGGTTGGACACAGCAACATCCAGCAAACCCTCACACGTTTGTGTGTTTGCTAATACCCATGTCCTGTTCCATATTCCCTCCTAACGGTGTGTGAATATACCAGAAATGCAGTGTGGAAATCGCGGCCTCAGGCCAGAGCATGACTGTATATGGCATTGCCACAGGTGCACACACGGGTGTGCTCAGCAGTTTGAGGGTACATGCCTGATCTATAGGGTTTGCAAAAAACGACAGGCAAGCGATCCTCTGGGATGTAAATAAATATAAGGGAAAAGAGCCTCCACCTTTTCACTTGGGGGTGAGTTGATTAATAACTTTATTATTAAGTGCTTTGACAAACCCCTTTTCACATGGGTGGGAAAAGGCATAATCTTTCTCTCCCCAGGACAAAGAAACAGTAGGAACAAAAAAAAAACCCTCCAATCGACTCAACAGAATGATTTTTGCGTATACTTAGATTCTATGGTCTTATTGCCACAGTTAGATTGCCACTTGGATTGCCACTTCCTAGCTGTGTAACCTTTGGCGAGGCACGTAAACTGTCTGTGCCTGTTTCCTCATCTGTAAAATGGGGATAAGTAACACACCTACCTCTGGGCTGTGAGAATTAAATGAGTTAATATATGTAGAGTACTTAGAACAGTACCTGGCACATAGTAAACACTCACTGTTAATTATTACTTTTCAGGTAATTTTACAATTTCCTGTGCGAAATTCCAACATCAACTCCCTTATCCCCAACTACACAATATTTATGTAGTTATAGATACTTATCTTTCAGAAATTAATATCAAAAAGGATGGCCGGGCGCGGTGGCTCAAGCCTGTAATCCCAGCACTTTGGGAGGCCGAGGCGGGTGGATCACGAGGTCAAGAGATCGAGACCATCCTGGTCAACATGGTGAAACCTCGTCTCTACTAAAAAAAAAATACAAAAAATTAGCTGGGCATGGTGGTGCGTGCCTGTAACCCCAGCTACTCAGGAGGCTGAGGCAGGAGAATTGCCTGAACCCAGGAGGCGGAGGTTGCGGTGAGCCGAGATCACGCCATTGCACTCCAGCCTGGGTAACATGAATAAAACTCCGTCTGAAAAAAAAAAAAAAAAAAAAAAAAGATATGCAGGAAAAGAGATATTTGACAGGGCCAGAGAGATGTTTGGGTCTTGAAAATGAAGTAATTATTATTATTGTTATTATTATTTTGAGACAGAGTCTTGCTCTGCCACCCAGGCTGGAGTGCGGTGGCAGGATCTTGGCTCAGCGAAGCATCCACCTCCCCGGTTCAAGCAATTCTCCTGTCTGCCTCAGCCTCCCGAGTAGCTGGGCTTACAGGCACCCACCACCAAGCCCCGCTAATTTTTTTTTGTATTTTCAGTA